GGGCGGCTGGGCGGCCTCTTGCCCACAGCTGTCCGCTCTGCTACCGGCTCGCCTCCTCTACAGTCCCGCTGCAGCGCAGTCTCGGCCCGGGAACTCCGAGGGTTTTAAGACCTGCGCCTTCGCCTAAGTCTTGAAGTGACAGATCAACCCTCGCCTCCCACTCCCCCGCTCCTCGCTTCCAGAGAAAGAGAGAGAGTGAGAGCGGCGCCGCCACTTGCCTTATTAGTCCTGCTCACCGGCGGGCAGACCCAGCGGCCCGGGGCCCCGGAGCGAACCGCGCGCCAGACAGGCTCACGTGTGACTGGCGGGCTCGGATCCAGGCGGTGACGCCCGACCCCCGGCCGTGCCCTCCTGAGACAGAGACAGGGAGGAGCAGAGCAGCGACGCGGCGCTCCGGGAGCTCACTTGTTGCGCGCTGGAGGGAACGGGAGCTGGGCGAAGCCGCGGCGCACTCTGAGTCAGGACAGACCCGGGACAGACCCGGGACAGAGCCCGGCAGGTGCCGCAGACTGCCCGTCCCCGGTAAAGTGGGACTTTCCGCGAGCGCCGCCCGGGAATGTGAAAGCGGACACGCTGGACCACAGCCTGCCGGACACAGGAGCCCCGAGCCACCGCTGGACCTGTCTCACTCTCCCGGAAGCGCTCGTGTGAGAATCCGCCTTTCTCCTCTCATTCACGGACGATGATGCCCCGGAGCCCCCCGGCCCGCGCGCTGCTGGCCTGGGTCTGCGCGAGCCTCTGTCTGCGGCCGGCGACCCCCCAGGGCGCCGGGGCACCTGAGACAGGTGAGTCGGGGGGCGGGGCGGGGCGGGGACGTCACCTGCGGTCCTGCTGCGATCGATCCGTCCGGTCCATCGAGGTGGCTAGAGAATCACCGCGGAGTGACAAGAACACGCTGTGTTGAAACTGTGGGAAAGCGCTGTTCATTCAAACATTCGTTTTCTCGATCCCTGAGCGTGCTGGAGGGCAGGAGTGTCGCGTTGTTTGACGCCGCGGCCTGTACACGTGCGAGGGTGTCCTCTTATGGCCAGGGCGCTACAGCTCTGAAGACAGGAGCTGCTGCAGCTGCTGGGGGGGCCAGGGCTGGCCTGTCCCGTGGGCAGCTGCGGGCAGCTGTGGGCAGCTGTGGGCAGCCGCGGCTCGCTCCAGTCTCTGGCGCCTGGCTGTTCACGCTGGTGCCCAGCCCTGTCACGGTCCGGCTGCAGCTCCGCTGATAAAGAGCAGCGTGAGCGGACTGTGGCGTCTGGGCGGCCAGGGGTCCAGACTGTGACGGGGGGGTTCTGATTCATCTGGATGATAGATACTTGTCCTGGACTGTACAGATTTAGAGCTGCGTGAGCAGGCTGTGGGGTTGGACTTCCAAGGGCTGTGCGAATCCAGAGCACTGCGGTAGAAATGTCGAATGTGTGTATTTCACAGCAGAAACCTGAAGTTCGAATCTAGAACTCCGTGCTGGAACTGAGGGAGTAAACTTCAGAGATTCAGGATTATGCCAGAGGTCTCTGGAGCTCACAGGTGACAGGGCGTCCGAACACTGCTGTCCAGTGTTGGAGCTGACCTGCGCGTGCTGGGTCTGGGAGCTGGTTGTCAGTGAGTTAGACTTGAGTGAACTTTCAACCCTGTTGTCAATGCTTAGCTGGGTAAACCAAGTAATAATAATTAATGTGCAGAGAGAAAGTTACTAATTAACAGCGAGGCTGTGCTGTACAGCACTATACTAGGTGCAGTGTTAAGCATTTCTGCCTCACTGCGCTGGAACCCTGTTCTGGACCTGGGGTGCTGTCTGTGTGGAGTTTGCATGTCCCCCCCC